AACACAGACACCCCACTGACTGGGAGAAAATATTTGTACACAATACTAATAACAAAGGACTGATCACAAAGATATACAAAGAGCTGATGAATCTCAACAAAAATAAAGTGAACAACCCCATCAAAAAATGGGCAGATAAGAGCTACAAAGACACTTTTCCAAAGAGGAAATGCAGATGGCTAACAGGCATATGAAAAAATGTTCAGCATCACTTGTAACAAGGGAAATGCAAATTAAAAACACAATGAGATACCATCTCACACCAGTGAGAATGGCACACATTAAAACAACTAGCAATAACAAATGTTGTCAAGGATGTGGAGAAAAAAGGAACTCTCCTGCACTGCTGGTGGGAATGCAAACTGGCTCAACCACCATGGAAAACTGTTTGGAGGTTCCTCAAACTGCTAAAAATGGAGATTCCATATGACCCAGCAATACCACTCCGAAGTATCTACCAAAGGACACAAAACATCCATTCAAAAGTACACCTGCACCCCCATGTTTACTGTTGCTATATTTACAACAGGGAAGATGTGGAATCAACCCAAATGCCCCAAAATAGATGACTGGATTAAAAAGATGTAGTAAATATACACAATGGAATATCAGTCAGCAATCAAAAAAGAGAAACTCCTGCCTTTTGCAGTAACATGGATGGAGCAGGAAGGGATCATGGTTAGTGAAATAAGCCCGAAAGAAAAAGAAAAATACCGATGGTTTCACTCATAGCAGGTGCACTAGGGGTCAGGGAAAAGAAAAACAATTGTCATAAAGTAAAAATGAAAACAACGAATAACTATCAACCAGAGACACTTTACAGGGGTGGAGAGGGAGAATGGGATCAAAACTGAGGTGGAAAGAGCACATGGGCCGATGGTGATGGCACACGGGTGTATTGTTGATGGGAAATCCGCAAGGATTACAACCAAGATGAAAAAATGTACAAAATGAAGAATGATGTAAAAACAACAACAACAACAACAACAACAACAATATGCATTGTTAATTAAAAATTTGGGGGTATCTCTCTTTGCCTTTTTCTCACCGCCAATCCACTTAGAATGTTCTGGCTGGTAGGTTCTTTTGAAGACATAGCATAGGGTTGGAATCCCACCTGTTGTTCTCATGCTTCTGGCTTACAGTTACTTCCTGCTGCTTCACATTGCAACCATTACCTGGCCTCAAGCCAGGTCAGGACACACTGCTTGTCATGTCTCTCCTCTTGCTTACTTCCCATCATTTCCTTACCTCAATTCTTAATTTGAGTGAATTCCTTCAGGCCCGTAGCCAACCATAGTTCCTACCTGGCAAGAGTGGCGTAAGTTACTAGTTCTGTGATGTTTTCATTGCTATAGCAGGGATTTGAAACCAGCTTTTTCATCACTAAGACTCCTGTACTGAGGGAGTGGTTTAAGATTCACAAACTGGTACAGATGCTAAGAATGCCCTGAAGTTTGCTTGGTGTTTGGAGCAATGAAAACAATCGTGTTTCATTATAACCTCATCATTACTATTATTACTTTGTGTACTAATCACTCAAAGTTTACTGTCTTAATTAAAAAAAAAAAAAAAAACTCACGGTTAAAGGGGACCACAGTTTGGTGAATGACAACTTGAAAGTTCTAGTGCTGACCCTGGGATGCTAGCGACATGTGAATTCTCCACCACCATGGTAATGGCACAACGCAACATTACTTCAATTAAAAAAATAAAACTATTCCATTGTGTATCTGTAACACATCTTCTTGATCCAGTCATCTGTTTTTGAGCACTTGGATTGATTCCACATCTTCTCTATTGTAAGTAGTGCAGCAATAAACTTAGGGGTGAAGGTGTCCTTTTGAATTAATGTTTTTGTGTATTCTGAGTAGATACCGAGGAGTGGAATTGCTGGCTCATATGGAAGCTCCACTTTTAGCAGTTCGGGAAACTTAGCAGTCAAAAATGATAAACTCATGCCATTTGCGACAACATGGATGGAGCTGGAAAAGATCGTGCTTAGTGAAATAAGCCAAAGCAAAAGAAAAATACTGGATGGTTTCACTCATAGCAGGAGTATAAGGGATTGAGGGGGAAAATATAGAGAGGGAAACAGGATCAAAACTGGGGTGGGAGGAGCACATGGGACTATGGTGAAGGCACATGGGTGAAGTTGAAGTGGTGGTGGGAAGTCCAGGGGGATTACAACCAAGATGCAAAAATGTACAAAATGAGGAATATATATATATATATATATAAAGAAATAAAAGCAGTATCAAGTCGTTGATGAAATATACTCGTGGCCAACAGGGTTTCTCTGAATAGCAACACTTTGCAAAGAAAAATTTAAGTGACTTCTCTGAAGATGAAAAGCAAAGCTTCCTGACCGGCTCCCTCCAAGCTCCAAAGCTTCCTCACAGGCTCCCTCCAAACTCCCTCCAAAATAGACCTGCATTTGAGGTAGGCCCTCGCCTACCACTGACATCCCATCTCCCACAAAGCCAGTCCTGTTTGCCGCTGTGATTTACAGGCTGTGTCTGCTGCAGGGAGCTGGTGGACACATTAGTGCAGGTAGGCTTATGAAAGGATGCTGCTGTCTGGCACTAAATGACTTTCCAGAGACCCATCTCATTGAGACCTGCAGGAACCGTCCTCTGCGCGTGAGCTGTCAGTGTGTGAGCCATTATTCCACCTATCTGATGGGAAGAATCAGAAATACAGTCCTGCATTGTCATCCTTTCTGCCCATTCTGAAGCAAAACTGCCTTCTCATACTTTCCTGCTTTCTATTTAGTTAATCCACTTCATGAACATTTTTGTGGCAACTATAATTCTGAATCTGGTTGGATTTTGTTAGTATAAATTGCGTATAAATTGTTCTATTTCCCATTTGCAACATGCTTTTTATAGATATTAACAACTATAGTATGTTGCTTGCCTTGTCCACTTAAGATAGAGATTTTTAAAATGTTTTCCTACCAGTTTCTTTTCTCTTCCTTACAGGATACTGAAAATCACCAGCTCCAAATCTGTCTCTCCCTCACATTTTATTATATGCCTTATTTCCATTTCCATGCATTAATGCAAATCATAGCTTCATTTATATTGATTAATATAATAAAAACTCTGGTTTGAATTTGAGTGAAAATTAACTCAAATATAAGACAAAGAGAATAGAGTCTGTATTGTTTGGGGATGTTTAAAGGAATTTTAAGTTAGTTAGAAAATATTTTATAGAAAGCAGCAATTGTAAAAATTTAAACAAAAGAGTTAGATGGAATAGTACTAAATGTATACATACAGATTTTTTTCTTTCACTCCACCCTTTTTAAAGAAAATATAAAGTGGTGTACAATTGTACGGAAGCTATATGCTTAGACTCAGTAGAAACAAGAATACTGCATTTGCTCTAAGTCATGAGAACAAAAGTGTGAAAAATGAAGTCTTTACTGCAAAAGATAGAATAAATAATTATTTGAACGTTAAGGCCACTGCTTTGAAAAGACAGAAAGGAAATGAAGTGGCTAGCTGAATTACTTGATATTATTCTCCAGAATTCTGTGTCAAAGGTTATGCTTCAGATTTGAATTTGGTTTTATATGTGTGTGCACTAATAAAATTTTTAGTTAAAGGCTCAAAGCTCAAACAGTCATGTGGCATTGTTTTAATTTATCCCACTGAATTGCTGTGTTTAGAAATTTACTTAGGCAATCTTTCACTTTAGCAGAAAATGTTCAGGATGTGAAGTGATATAAAATAGGGAGTCATCATTCCCCAGCCTCCCTTGGTATCTTTTTCGTACCCGACGAGTTCAGCCATACAGCCAATAACCAAAGTGTTATTTGGTTATTCTGTATTTACAACACAGAATTCCAAGGAAAATGTCTACGCATCAACAAATGTTTGCAAAAATAACTTATTTTTTAACTGACCGACTTTAGCAGGCTCAGTTCAATACACGAGCTCTTAGTGAGTTGAAGTATGACAGAGCACACTCAAAAGAAAACTCTGATTATAAAATGTAACAAGAAAGTTCGCAAATTTAATGAGCTTTCCGTTACCATGCCAACTTCTGCTGAATCTGGAAAGCATTAAAATAATTTTCACACAAATTATTTCTTCCCATTGTGTTATAGCCATTCCCTTTTCACAGGCAATACATTCAGTACCGAAGAAGCAGCATGTTCATTAGTGCTAAAGAGAAAGACAAGGGTTAAGTAAATAAGAGCATCAAATTAATATCCAGGCCTAAATGTTTTAGCAGAGCCAAAGAGTCTGTTTAATCATTCAAGTCAACAAAGGTTAAGATAATAAAATAAACTTCTAAATGCTTTCCTTTTCTGGAACTTAATCTGTCTTGCCAAAGATGTGTTTAAGATGCTATCAGTTTTGTGTAGCCCCAGCTGCTATGAAAATCTACTTGAATACACTGGGAAGAGAAATAATTTTATGAAAAGAATGAAGGGGTGCTCTTGGGTGGCTTATTGAAACTGTGAGTCTAGGATTCATTTAAAACCAGCTGTTGGCTGATGATGTTGAGACCAATAACCACTACATCTTTAATTTATCAGACTTCTGTGTTATTTGGCAAGGTGATAGCTTCATGATATATGTTCATTTGGTTGTCCACATTTGATCAATAAATTTGCCAAAATTTCAAAACATAATATCCTAATTCAAGAAGGCAGTATTAAACATTGAAGTCACTTTGCTTATTTTTGAGGCCCTGTTTTTAAGTTGTTAAGATAGAGAAAAGAAATATGGATCATTCATATCAAAGCCCTGGGTACCATTCCAAGTCCCAGGGGTTCCCTATATTCACGGTGGGGTCAAGGCCCCAGGAGTCTCCTTTAGTAACGCAGAGAGGTCATGATACTGTCGAGGATGTAGATGACAATGGGAAAAGCCTCAAAAACCTGCCTTTCTACACTTGACATTCAGGTTCTGTTAATGATCAAGACATGAAATTCAATCTTTTGCAAAGAGAGGCTCAGAATAAAAGCCAGATCAACAAAATACCTCGTAGAACATGTAAACTCTATTATAGACAGCAGAAAAGAGACCGTTCATCTGGTTAGTCTGAAGGACAAAATTCACAAGGGCAGAGACCAGATTTCGATAAAACACAATTTTCAAGTTGGTGCCATTGAGCTGAGAAATGACATTGTGTGACAGGTAAGTCGGTGTCCTGACACGCTCAGGTGTGGGTCAGTCACACCGGCATGCTTCACATAGAGGTCTAGCGTGTTGCTAAGTGGCATTCTTTCACACATTTTGGAGGGTTCAGAATGCATGGATTGTGAAGACTGAGGTTAATTACCCTGGTTGCAACGACAAAAGAGGCACTTATTTGCACATGTGTTCCATCTTTTTCTATCTTGTTCACAGAGTCCTAGGGCCCACCTGGAATGGCATGTGGGTGGAGCAGAGAGCTAAACTTGAGTCTGGGTCTCGCCAGATGTGCAGGAAAGAAGTCAAACTAGTCACTCACCCTGCTGCTACCCCAACGAACTTCAGCCACATTAGTATATGTGCCACCACTCACAGAGTTGCTTTGGAGGGTAAAAGAGAGAATATATATGGAAAATGTAATCTGTTCATAACTAAGCACAGACTGGGCCTGTTATTATGGACAGATGTTTGCATTTTCTCAACCTTGGTTTCCTCATCATTAGGTGAGAATGAATCTGTTTCAGAGGGCTGTTGAAATGAAACGTGTCTTCCTGGACTGGTTGGCATATTTTAGGAACTCAATACCATTATTTATCAGTAATACGCTGTAACTTGAGCCCTAACTATTTCTGTAGGACTATTGCTTCACAGTGACATTAAATGCTTGACAACAATTTCATTACTGACAGGGAAATGGCTGCACCATTCAGAACAGCATAAAGGAGAGGCTGGGAGCTGGGTTTGAACCCCACTCTGCCAATCATAAATTATGCGCACTTCTGCCAGTTTCTTCACCCCAGATTGTTCATGTGAAATATGGAGAGAGCAATCAAGTGCTGTTTCCTGTAGAAGAGAGCGTACTATAGATTTCTCACATATTATTTAGCTTAACCCTTATAACCAGAGATAGATCACAGCAGGGCTAAGATTTCACCCCTGTCTGGCCCATGTGAATATAATGATTCCACTCTGCTGCATCCACTTCTGCTCTTTCTTCCCTAGTAATGTCTCTTGCTGAACTGCAGCGAGCTGTGGAGATATGTGTGTGAGCCTCTCACCTTGAGAGGTGTTCTGCTAGTATTATGTCAGGTGTGAGCATCTGGTCTAGGAATCTCCTTTTAGCTCCCTCACAGCAGGTTTCCGATCTCTCCTTGAATTCTGGGGAAAGTCAGAACCTCCAAACGTTGCCACAGAAATGTATGGCAATGAAATGCAGAAAACAGCGTGGGCATGGCGGCCAACAGCGCAGAAAACACCATCGCGACTGTGGAGCCCAGATCTGAGGGCTGAAGTGCAGAGCCTGACTGCAAAGACCAACCCGACAAATCTGTGATGACATTTCCCTGAGAGTCAAGGAGGGAAGTGCCATTCTTGTGTCAGGATGCATTTCTCTATGGAAATATGGAGCATAAAGCCAAATAATTTCTATAGTTGTTATGTTATCCCTAAAACTGTGAGCTTGAAATTGTTTCAAAGTATACTGACAGAAATCTCATGCCAAAAACCTAGGTATTTCTTCTGCATTAAATCACATGCCATCAACAGCCTTCAAAGACAGTCACCCGTCCTTCCACTTAACTTTTAACTTCTCCCAATCGGACGCCCACTATCACTACTTAACAAAAGGTACCCTCCCCCCTTAATGTCCTGTGACTGCAGAACACCAGCTCTAAAAGCTTTTTATAGACCTAGTCTCTGTAACGCTCTATTAAGAATATTTTCTTGGCCATCCTGGTTTTCTTCATAGCTCTTCCTATGGCAGGTCCTTGTTCTCATGGAGCTTATATTCTAAAGAGAGGCATGTATTACAGCTAACAAGGAAGCAAATACATAGAGTAACCAAAGATTTACACTGGGTACTTGAGATTCTTTCCAAGGAAGTATATGAAACAAAGTTCCAATGATAAGAAGTCAGTTATAAGGGAACAGGAAGAAAGCAAATGGAAAAGTCCACAAGCTGAGAGTGAATGTGGGGTGTTACGGGACAGCATGACTGGAGTCCAGCAGGCAAATGAAGATCAGTGTGGCAAGGTTACAGAGACAGGTGAACATCAGATCTGGAAGGTGTGTGGAGACTAAGCAAAGAGATTTGGATTGCATCCTAAGGTCTACAACAGGGGGTAAAATGATCTTGTTTACAACATAAAATGCTCTCAGGCTGTTCTATAAACATAAACATGGATTATAAAGGGTCAAGAGTGGAACTGAGATTAATTGGAAGACTACCAAAGTAATCAAGAAGGCAGATTACAGTAGGTTGAATTTGATGATAGTAGAAGAGAGAAGTGGAAAGAAACATTTATAATCTCTATAGCATTAAATATGAAATCTTAAACATGGCAGAAGATCAGTGTTTGTGTATGAGTGAATTGCTATATGTAAGCTGAATGTTTAAAAATAGCTTCACTTTCTTAATTTTTATATTATCTTCAAATTTTTCCTACTGTGATTTATATATTATGTCTTAATATATTCTTGTTTTATACTTGGGGAACTAACAAATGAAAACAGACTCCGTAGTGAAGGAAGCACTATTAATCCCATAATAGAAAGTCAACTAACAGAAAACTGAGTGATGGAGGGTCATATTTTTCAGTGAATTATGGGGAGCATGGTGGTGGGTGCACTACGGTGGTAACACCTGATGTCGCCTCAATTTAAAAAAAGATAAAATTTTTTTAAATTATGGGAAGACAAATTACTTAAAACAAATGTTTAGAAAGTGGAATTCCCAATCTTTGATGGATAAAATGGACAGGGTGTTGAAGACCAAACCCCTGTACCTTACAAAAGAGAGACTCCAGTGTCACCATTTGACATGGTGAGCCTAGCAAGAAAAAGCAGGTTAACTGTCATGAAAAGTGAAGACTGTTCTACTTCTAATTCACCTGTAATATTTCTGGAATTATGAAATTTTTATTGGGCCGTCTTCATAGGATAACTTCCCTAATGAGTATTTGATTAATATCACTTTACCAGAAAGCAATGTTTACAAAATGCTAAGTGCACTAAATGTCACCTGCCTACTTTCTAAATTGGAATAAGAAAGAGCAGTGATTCTGTGGGTTTGCATTCTCTTCCCACTGGTACTTTACCCATGAAGACATTTCCTATATTATGAATTCAGTCCAAATTCCTTCAGCACATAACAGAGTCCAGAGAAAGCAGGATCAACACTGGCCACTATCCACCCGAAATACTAACTGGCCCCTGAGCCACGTGTGACTTGGCCCTTGTCTGTGTGAAAACTGCCTGAATTCGGTATGAAGACAGTCTGGGTGCGTCAAAGTAGTTCATGAACTTTGGCCAGACTTGCAAGGAATCTGGTCCAACTCTTAGTTTGTAATGCAACATGAAACCAGGTGAATTTCACATGGTTTCAGGTTTCATCCTGAAAATTTGGCCCTGCTTTATCATCAATCATCACTTTTGGGAATGATGAAAGCCAACACACCTTTTTGAAAATGAGGACTTTGTGCATACTGATGACAGCTGAGCTGTGAACCACCCCTCGGTTTCCTTTGCCAAAAGAAGACTTCGCAGAATGAAAACAGTTTCTCTTACCTGGATAGGGCAGGTTGAGTGACTCTAATATTGTGTGTAGAAAGACTGACCCCGGATCCGGGGAAACATGCCATGTGAAATAATCACCGCATGCTCTATTTGTGATTTTCTATAATCACGAGTGGCTCTATTCAATCATGTGAGATTTATAAGAATTGAACTCCATTCACATACATGACAGTAGGATGCTTAATCTCCCTGACCATTAAAACGAACTTTGAACTTGGATTTTAGTCATCACTTAGAAGAACTGCCATCAGAAACCAAATGTTCTGACGCATCATCATTATGTCTACATGAGGAAAGGGCTAGAGAACAGAAAGGAAAGTGAACCAGAGCAGATCTTTATCTATTCTAATAAATATGAGATAACACTGGAAACGGTTCCAGTTTGCATCAACTCTATCTTTGCAATGAAACCCCCACTATGGTATAAACAAGATTCGATAATGAATGATGCACAGAGCATTACAAAAATCCTACACTGTTTCTGCTTTCAACCTGAAAGTTTTAAATGTGCTGTTTTGCTGTAAAAAAATGACCCCCTTCAACCAAATACTCACTTTTGTGCATAGTGACATGAGAAAATTGAGAGGTATGTCTGAACGAAGCCACGACCTCATTGGAACAGTATGTCTGAACATGTGGGTAATAAGGCACAGATGTGCAGCAGAAGACTTGGCACTACCAAGGTAACAACAAAGCACTCACCATTGTGCTACAATGCTTACAAGAGCCACATTTCAGAAGAATAAAAGAATTCCCCTCCTCTCTGCAATGCTAAATTCTATTACACCTTTTATCTGCTTAAAAAGTCTATAAAAAATGAGAGATTCAAATGAGTATTATAGAGTATATAATCCTCTATAACATAGTTATGCATAGCACATAAAATCGAACTACAGAAAAAGGACAAATGTAATAGGAATCCACCAGGTCTCTGTGTTTCCAAACAAAGCATATAAATCCCAAGCACCCGCTACTCCTGGGCAGGTGGTGGCTCTGCTGGTCAGTTCTGATGCTGGTCAGTTCTTCCATCAGCAGAGCTTGTGTGGCGACTGTCTCTAGTTAATATAATACAACAGGGGCCCTCCCCGGCAGGGCAACTGCTTGGGACACCGCACTGCAAGCTAGTGTCAGCTGCCTCAGTGTGAGTTCTATCCCCAACACCGGAGGTGACCCGCATGGCGCGGCAGGCCTCTCCTGACCCGTCCCCTACTCCCCTCAGCAGTTAACAGTCAATCTGCCTGCTCTGCTTCCCACTCTGTCACTGGTGAATCCTCTGACCACCCCCGCACTCTGGTCTGTACCCCAGTTCTATATGCATAAATAAATAAATCTGAAAAAAAAAAAAAAGGTCATGCAACAGGATAAACACAGACTATTTCATATACACAAGGTGTGGTATTTTTGTCAGCCATCCCTATATCATGCACAAAGTAAGAAGCCAGGACCACTGTAATTCCATAGATTTGAATCTCACAGCTAACTTTCTGCCCAGAGTTGGAAAAGAACAACTTACCCGAGGTCCCTGATCACCTTGTTCTCCCTGCAGAGTAGGAAGAGAACAGTTTGAGTACAAAGGATGTGATGCGCATCAGAAAGATTAAAACACAGTCTCAAATGTACCACAGAGGACGGTGTGTCAGCATGGACTCCCACTAACTTGCTTCCACCATGCATTTTCTTACCTTATCGCCTTTTGGCCCAGGAGGACCCTGGAATAAAGAGAAAATATCTGTTCAGTAAATAAATGTATGGTTTGACGAGGTCATCAAGGTTAATCACAAGAGCCATGTAGTATCAATGGGAAGAGCTGCCAATGAAGCTTTTCCAAGGAATTTTGGGCTCTAAACTGTATTTGTAACGTGGTTAGAATACAAAAATGGCATTTTATCTCACATATATATGTACATAAACCGAGAAAAGTACATGTCATATGTAAGGAAAATACAGTTCTTCTCACCTCCCACAGGGCTCCTCTATGGACACCACTGTGGCCTTGCTTGCCAGCTAGGTTTCATTGCCCATAGGTGGTATAACATGGTGGTGCAAAAAATGCTTGGGAGTGCAAGCACAGGATGTGTGCATATCAATATGGACACCAGGGCCAAAAGGGGAGCTTGAAGAAGACTTAGAGATGAGAGAAGCCAGAGAGTGGAAGGGGTGGTGAGTAGGCTCAGTTGCACCTGCTTGCCTCCCCACCTGCTGGTCTGCCTGTGAGCCCAGTTAGCACTCACAACCCCTTTCGAATATACCAAAGGCTCCAAAGTCCGCAGATGATTTATCTGCCTGAATCAACAATGAACCTGCATGGTCTGGGAGGCTGGCACAATAGCACATTTTGCACATATTAAACTTCCCCAAACTGAACACACCCAGTACAAGTAGAATCCAGCTGCAGAGAGCCAGAGCCCCTGGTGTGACAGCGCCTTCTCCCTACTTTCCAGCAACAGCAGTTGCTATTCTGACCTCTGACAGAATAGATTTGCTTGCCTGTTCTTGTATTCTGTGTGAATGGAATCATACAGTATGTACCGGCCTCTTGCTGAAGACATGTAAAATGCATGCATAATTTTGCATGTGCTTGTAGGTCATTTGTTCTTAATATTCCATTGTGTGAATAAACCCTCGTTTATTTATTCATCTCACTGTTGATGGCCATCTGTTTCCAGGGGTGTCTGGGTCTTGGCTA